GTCTGAGGAGACCCATGTTAATTTCTATGCCCCTCTCCAAAGTATACCTCCATTTTCAGCTACTAAGGTAATACCTGCAACTGAACAACATATTTACTTTAACGCATACTGTTTTTTTTACTAATCCTTCATTTTCAGAAAACAACAAGAAGGAAGACTATAGGAAGGAAACGTACTCAAAAAGCAAGAGCCAAAAGAAACTTTCAATTGATCGATGATGATGAAGTTGATGATGATAAGGTCATATCTAAGAAAAAGAAACCTGCTGCTGACTCTCTCTCCCAATGTACTTCCCTTCTTTGCTTGATTTCACATATTACCTTTTTTTTTTCTATAATATAACTAAATCGGCACTATTTTCAGAAAACTCAACTCTCTTCAGACCAACAATCAATTCAAGAAATTTCTACAGACCATGTTGATGAAGAAGAAAAATTTGAGTTATCAGTAGGGAAAAAGCAAAAATCCCCATTCACTTCAATTAATGAACAAATTGGAGATTCCGATGAAGTAAGTTATGACTTTTATAACCTGTTCTTGTAAACTTGTAACAACTGTAATTAACCCAACATATCTCAGGTACAAAAAGACTCGGCTACTCCAACCATTCCTGTCAGTATCAACCCTAGTTCTCTTTTCGCAGCCCTTGATTCGCTATTCGATTCTGTGTTCAACTCACCAGATCCTGCGTCTTTTGAGATCCCACCTGAAAAAACTTTTGAAACTCCCTTGGAAGTAATTAAAACTGTACAGATACTACTCCATATGCTTCAACAAGATTTGTCCTATCCCCTCCTTCAAGGAAGACCTTACCGAGACCCTGTCCTTTCTGAGTAGCTACCCTAGCTTCTCCCTGGAGGACCAGACCTTTTTCAAAAACTTCCAACTCTAAGTCCCCTCCATGATTACTGCTTGTGCCGAGTCTACTCAAGCTCTCAACCATTGTGCTGCTCAAACCCAAGAGAAAGAACTGTCTGCTCAATCTTTAAAGAATGGAAAAGAATTGCATTTGTCATTGAAGAGAGAAACTGCTGAACTGGATGCAAGGGAGAAAAAGCTTCAGGCACAACTAGCTTAGCTTCAAAAAGACAAATCCCAACTCAGCAATAAAGTGGCAAAACTAAAAAAAGAAGCAGAAGTTGCTGCCCCCAAGTTCAAAGCACTCTAGACTCAAATGCCAAAGTTGAAGCAGTCCAAGAAGCAAGCAGAAACGAAGCTCGATCAAACCAGAGTATCATGGGCAAGTTTCAAAGCCCAATTTGAAAAATTTCATCAGAACTTTAACTAACCTTGAACTTTTATTATCTCATGACAACTATTATGGATCTGTAATGTGGTTTTCGAACAATTTGCATCTTTTGGGAAGTAATATATTGATGCAACTATTTATTTATCACAGAAGCAAATTTTATCTTTACACAACTTGCATAAAATACAATCCACACTATCTTGACTTACTGGAATTTTCTTTTCTTCCATGAGTTCAAAAATAGTTGGCTTATATTTTTTAAGGTATCTTCCATTTATTGGTCTCTCATGGATTTCACCATCTAGATCTTTTAACCTGTTAGCGCCTCTATGCAATACTTGATGAACCAAATATAATACCTCTAATTTTAAAAGGATAGTCTCGGCATTTTCATTTTTCTTTTATTGTATTTTTATTTGTTATTTTATTTATTTGCTTTGTTTTGTGATTATCTGCGTAATTGGTTAATTATTTAATGCTTATTTAATTGTGTTAATTGTTTATTTTCTGTGATTGTTTAATTGGCTTCATTAATTAATTAGTTGGATTTTATTTGTTTTATTACTGCTATTATTTGCTAAATTATTAATAATATTACTTATTTTAATTAATTAGTTAAATTGATAACTGTTTATTTACGTTGTGTATCGTGACTTAGGGTTTTAGGTTTCAATGTGTAGCCGACTTAGTATTAAATTAATTATGGTATCAGTTTCATTCTTGGATTACAATTAGAATTAGGGTTGAGGGTTTATAGGTCTATATATATACATGTATACGTTCTGTCTAGGGTTGAAACAAACCTTATTCCCGGAGTGAAATGCAGAGAGATATAGAGGAGGAAACATAGAGTGACCTTGGGTGCTTAACAAAGCAGTTGAAGGAGGAAGGAACAGGGTTGTTTCTGGGTGGAACCAAAGCACCGAAGGAGTAAACCTTCAGTATAAGACACTAACGTAGCATTCAGAAACTATGGAATTAGAGTTTCAAATCTGAAACTCAAAGGCAAGTTCTGTTCTATTATATCCCTTTAATCTGTGTTCTGTGCATGCTTAGAAAGACTCCAGGGATTAAACTAAGGCTTAATTACATCTGTTATGCATGTTTAATCTGTATTTAAATTCATGAAATAAATTTGTTCTTAGTTGCTTTAAAATTTTAACTTGAAACTTTGCTGCCGTTGTGTAACAACTTGTGTTTAAATTCAAGTGTTGGTTGTATATTCTTATTCTATGACCAATATGGAATTTGGATGGACTTTAAAACATGTATTAAAAACTACTACAGAGGTCTGGTGATCATCGGAATCGGAGAGGAGGAAGATGAAACGAACAGAGGCTGCTAAGAGGAGGGAGAGAGGGCTCCCAAACCTCTTAGAGTCGGCTCCCAAAGGGGAGAGCTGGCTCTTGGTGTTGTGGAGCTGGCTCTAAGAGGCTAGAGCTGGCTCTAGATGAAAAGTAGAGCAGGCTCCCAATTTTGAGAGCCTGCTCTTTTTTAAAACACACAGAAAATGAGATTTTTAGGGACTGTTTGGCGAAACGGGGTTTTCTAAAATTGTTTAAAGGTCACCGAATGGTGTAATGCATTGTTAAAAGCTTGTATTAATGTTAGGAAGTATGTTTTACTCTTGTAAATTGAGGATGAAATTAACATAAGATTAAACCAAGATCTGTATGTGAAGGATTGAACATTGCATTGCAGACTGTTACGTTTTCCTTGAAGTGGAGAAGGCTCTCCTTGAGATGGAGAAGGCTCTCCTTGAAATGGAGAAGGCTCCCTTGAAGTAGAGAAGGCTCTTTTGCTTTCAGAGCCTTCTCTTTCTTTTGTTTAAAGCGTAAAACTGATGTTTGATGTTTGTTTGGCTAAACTGGATTTTTCAAAGGCTGTCTATGTGCTACTGAATAATGTAATTCACTGCTTAAGACTTATAAAATTGTTGAGAAGTAAGCCTACATTTAGATATTGAGGATAGGATTAATCTAAGCTTAAATAGAGAGTTCGTAGGTGAAGGATTGGAGAATTAACTTATGTTGCTTACTGTAGTTGAAACTTTGATTTCTCTGCAAAATCTTAAATTGAGAATCATGTTTTCAGCTGTGATTTAGGCATATAGTAATTTAATTATGTGTATGCTTAAATGGAGTTAACTGGTGTTTAAATCGGTTATACATTGCACCAATATGGTACTGTTTGGAGAGGTAGATTGTGTAATCTTATTTTACAAATTTAAAGGACTGGGATTTAGATTCTAACTCTGTTAGTGGATGCATGATTTAGTTTTACACATGTGAAATTGTATTTGTGCTTATTTTGGAATGCAGTTGATAACTATTTATACTGTTTTTGGTCAACTATGGTAAATGGAGGATTTAAATGTATGACTCATATTAGCAATTTAAATGGTTGGAATGTGATGTTTAGGTTCTATAATGAATGCCTAATGTCATGTTATATGTATTAAACTGTATTTATGCATATCCTGGATAATAGTTAATAGATAGCAATTATTGTCTTTACAATTATGTTGTTTGGAGGATTATGTGCACCGGTATGGGACGGTGGTATACTAGGGATGGATTAGTAAAATACTAAATCCTACCTATTTTGGAATGAGTTGGATTAACTATAAAAAGTTAAGTCCTACTTATATGGATGTCTATGCACCGGTTTTGGACGGTGGCATATTAGGGACGGCTCAGTTCAAAACACTGAGACCTACCTATATTGGGGATGGATTAGTTCAAACACTAAGTCCTACCTATATTCAAATAAGATGGATTAACTACAAAAGTTAAGTCCTACTTATAACTAGGTGTCAGGTCAATAAACCTTTTGAATGACACACTTGGAACGGACTTTTTATATTTATGTTATGGTACTATGGTATGAGCTTGAGTCTCATCACCATGGTTAAGACGCGTATATCGCCTATGATGGATAGCTGGACAGTAGTGCTGTTCCCTGGTAGGTCTAGGTACACATGACCACGTAATGTGCGATTTGCATGGTATCTCTATTCAGGTTAAGACAGACCTATTAGACTAGTAAGCGTCCTATAGTGTGTAATATATATACATATATAGACTACTTTAGATATTGTTGAGTCTATCTAAGATGTATCTGCATATCGGATTCCTGTTTGGATCGTAATAGATCAGGACTTGCATGTGGGCCTGACCCACTCTTTTATTTTTCAGGTGCTCGTCAGTTCCAAAGTTAGAGTTTGATCGTGCAGAGCAGATACAGACTTCCATTTTACCGACTACGTAGGACTGCTTACTTATTAGCTTTGGATCGTACTTTAGTTATTTCATTTTACAGTTAGGATTTTATTAGGGGTCCACTAGATGGATTCCAGAGTTGTTATTTAATTGGAGGTTTTGGAGTTTGAATTTTTAGAACTTTATTTTGAGGATTGTCAATTAGAGTTCATTTCAGCTTTAGTATTTATTTTTAATTCAAATTTGTATTCTGTGTTCGATTTAAATATTAATTGTTTGATATTCCCTCGGGTTTGGGCCTGGGCCTGATCAACCCGTGTCTCGAATCTGAGGGGTATCACACCAAATATGGACCCTTCCAAGTAGGTGACCACTTGCCATAAACTCTATCCACCTTCCTAGGTGGAAGAATTGTTTGCCAAACCATATCACTCTCTGCAAATGACTTGAACTTCATTCTTTTGTTGTAAGCCCTCATTACTTTTGCTTTATGAACCATAAGGTGGTCTAAAGCAAGTTTTGGACTTCATCTAAATTTCTAACTCGGCAAGCATAGCTTCGTTGTAATCGGCAGGTATAAGATTGTGTTGTAAAGCTACTCTTGCCGATTTTACATTTAACTCCATCTGCAACACAGCGTTGTGGCCAAATGTAAACCGATAAGGAGTTGTTCCTGTACTTGTTCGCTTCGAATTTCTGTAAGCCCACAAAGCTTCTGAAAGGGTTTCATGCCAACGCCTTGGCTTATCTTTTATCATTTTTTCAATAATTTCAATAACAAATTTATTTTAAGCCTCTGCTTGGCCATTCCCTTGAGCATAGTAGGGTGTTGAAGTTACCATTTTTACTTACATATCACGGCCGAGTTATAATACTTCATTTGCTCGAAACACAGATCCATTATCGACAACGATTGTTTCTGGTAAACCAAATCGGTGAAAGATATGTCACTTCAGAAACTGTATCACCGTGTTATGAGTTAATGAGACATATTCCTCGGCTTCTACCCATTTAGTGAAATAATCGGTAACTAAAATTATCCAATGATGACCCTTTGAAGATAGAGGATTAATCTTGCCGATTAAGTCCATGGCCCAACCTCTAAAAGGCCACGGTTTAACCAACAATTGCATCTCTATTGCTGGAACCAACTGCATTGGGCCGTGCTTTTGATAATCTGTACAACCCTTTGCATAGGTCATATAATCTTTTCTCATTCCAGGCCAATAATTATCGGCGTATCAACCATCTCCTTTTGATTCCGGCTTGGTGAGCTCCACATATTCCTTCATGCACTTCTGTTATAATCTTTAAACCTTCAAACTTGCTAATACACTGAAATAATAATCCATCATCAGCCGATCTCCTATAAAGATCTCCATCCATAAGAACATAATCGACTGCACTTCTTTTTATTCTTCGATCGACTTCTGGAGTTGGATGTTGCAAGAACAGGATGTAAGGGATTCGCCAATCATCATCATCCAACTTGGCAACATCAGTGGCAAAGACTTCTTCCATAATTTGATTTCTTGCTTCAGCCAATGGAAGAGATTGGCGTGTAATCCTCATTATCCTTTCCTTTATACCACTCGGCATCCTGACTCCTGAAGCAGTCTGTGCTAAATCATTAGCTATTTTATTCATGGCCCTTGGTCTATATTCTAAAGTCACATTATAAAATTGGTTCACCAATTGGGTTGCTAATGAATGGAATGGTCTTAATTGCCAATTCAAGTATCTAAAGTCTTCTGAGATTTGATTAATCACTATACTCGAATCTACTACAATGTAGACGTCTTTGACTGCCATTTCTAGGAGAATTTCCAAGCCGATGATCAATGCTTCATACTCGGCTTGATTATTTGAGCACCTGAAATCCAAAAAGAAAGAAAACGAAATTTGATTCCCTGTTGGGGATATTAGCACAATGCCAGCTCCTGACCCTTCACTGGTACTCGACCCATCAAACATTAAAGTCCAAGGGGTCATGAATATGGCTGCCGAGTCAAGCTCATCAAATACTTGTGACTCAATTTCAGGCAAGGGATGATCAGCAAGAAAATCTGTCAATGCTCTTCCCTTAATTGCCTTTTGTGGAACATAGGCAAAGTTGAATTCCATTAGTGCCAGCCCACTTGTCAATCCAGCCTATGATTAATTGCCTTGATAGCATATACTTTATAAGATCGGTTTGACAAACAATATAAACCAAAACAGGCAACATATAGACTCTAAATTTCATTGTTGCAAAATACAAAGCCAAACATAATTTCTCAATCGGTGTATATCTACACTCGACTGGAGTTAAAACTCGGCTGAGATAATATATTGCTTGCTCATTTCCTGCTTCATTCTCTTGTGCTAATATAGCTCCAATGGATTCTTCAGCAACTGATAAATATAACTTCATCGGCCATTTTTTCCTTGGTGGCATCATGACAGAAGGACTGGACAAGTATTTCTTAATCTGGTCAAATGCCCTTTGATGTGTATCATCCCATTTGAATTCTTCCATCAGCTTCAACTTGAGTAGCAGGGAAAACACATGTAATTTCCTAGCTGTATTGGCAATAAATCTCCTAAGATAGTTCACTTGCCCAAGTAACCTCTGTAATTATTTCTTGCTTCTCGGCGCACTGGCATCAATAATTGCCTTAACTTTATTCCTATTGATCTCTATACCCCTTTGATGAACCAAGAAACCCAAAAAGTTTCCTGCCGATACTCCAAAGGCACACTTTATTGGGTTCATTTTTAGCTTATGAGCCCTCATCCTCTCAAAGGATGCTTTGAGATGAACCAAGTGCTCCTTTTTTGTTGCTGATTTTACCACTACATTATCAATATACACCTTCATAAACTTGCCGAGCATATCATGAAAAATAGAATTCATGGCCCACTGATATGTGGCACCAGCATTCCTCAACCCAAAAGACATTACCACCCATTCAAAAGTTCCAATCGATCCGGGACACTTAAAAGCTATCTTTGGAATATCTTCCTCGACTATATAAATCTGATTATAGCCTGAGTGTCCATCTATAAAAGACATAATTTGGTGCTTTGCAGCCGCATCAATTAGCTGATCGGCTATCGGCATTGGATACTCGTCTTTTGGAGTTGCCAGGTTTATGTTTCGAAAATCAACACATATACATAATTTTCCATTCTTCTTGATAACAGGGACTACATTTGATAACCATTCAATATACCTTGTAGTTCGAATGAGGCTAGCATCCAACAATCGTTCGATTTCCACTATGACTTTATCTACCACCTCTTAAGACATTCGACGAGGTGGCTGTTTATATAGCTTGTAGCCATCTTTAATGGGCAGCCAATATTCCACCAAATCTCTAGGTAAACCTAGCATTTCCTCATAATTCCAAGCAAAACAGTCACTGTATTGCTTCAACATGCCGATAACCTCGGCTTAAAATTCTGGTTCTAACAGTGCACTGATATAAGTTGGTCTAGGCTCTACGTCAATGCCTAAATTCACCTCCTTTAATGGATCCTGAGTTTTTGCTTTAAGATCATCGAGCTTAGCTGGTGCCAATTCCAAGTCTTCTAACTGAATTGCATCCAACTTTTCATTATTGAACTGATCAACCTCAGTAAGATTAATCGATGGTCCTGGCTCTATTATTGCTTCTTTTTCTAGCCGTTTTTCGGCTATATATGCTTGTAACCTAATGCAAGCGGCCCTAAAGGCCAGCTACCAAGCTGTTTCCCTTTCAAGTTTTGCTTCCATCAATAACTTCTTCAATTATAGCAAGCCGAGGGAGTTCTACCTTCGGCCTGGAATTTTCCTGCTGCAACTCGCCGATTTCACGATCGGCAAGACTTCCTCTCATGGTTGCCGAGGTTGGTCTTCCATCGGCTCCTGTTCACACAAATCGAATAGGAACACATTCTTCGTCATACAAAACAGCATCTGCTGAGTACATTTTGCCACAAATGGCTTATCGTCGGCATTTACTATTTTCACCTTATCTCCATCCCAAAAAATCAGCATTTGGTGTAATGATGATGAGATGCACATATTTGGATAAATCCAGTCATGGCCTAATAACAAATTATAGGAAGTCGTGGATTCAATAATAAAGAATACCGCAAAAGATGTCCTACCTCCAACTTCTACTTCTAAGGGAAGGATCCCTTTAGTGGTAGTAGAGCCTCCGTTAAAACCACAAATTGCTACATCAGTAGGAATAACATTTTCCATACTCTTGTCAAGTTTCTTCAATGTGTTTGCTAGAATAACATTCAGAACCGAGCCATTGTCTACCAAGACTCGATTAATAGGTTGACCTTCTACCCATACCTTAATATACAAAGGCCTGAGTTATTGAGTTATTGCTAACAAAGTTTTTTCAAAAACCACTTTCTTTGCCGATTCTGAAGAAAGAATTGATAAATTCTGAACTGGTTGAGTTTCCTTCTCATTCTTCTCAGTATTTGCATTTGATGCTGATGGAGCCTGGAACATTGCTGGTAATACAAATGCCATGTTACATGACATCTCATCTGGGAAACTGCCAAACTGAATTCTGAACTCATTGTTGCATCTGGGCCACATCGGTTGATGCTCCTCATCCGGTTCATCTTTATTTGGAATGCCGATTTCCTCAGCTTGCACTACTTTGCTTACTCCCTCAGCTTTCTTTTTTTCCTCAACCCTTCTCCTTTGTTCCCTACGCTTCTGAGATCGAGTTAGGCCCTCATTCTGATATTGTTGAGCTTTAGGGAATTTTAGATGATTAACTCGAGTCCACCTATCTTCAGTTGAGTCTGTCTTTGGTTTCACAGTTCATACTCTATATGAATCGGCTCTTTTCTGTACCTAAATTTCTGACAGAACCGGCGACTGCCTCTTAAAATTGGGATGCCAATTTTGGGGATGAAATCGGTTAGATATATCTACTTGTCGAGTTTGCTTTCCCGCTTTCAAATGACTGCTGCTGGGACCACCTTGCCGAGGCTCTTCCCCAGGCTTCAATGGGAAAATAAGCCTCTCAAGAATTCCTTTCTTCTTTGGTTGAACCTCCATTGGCACATATTCCTTTGGCTTTTGATTTCCTTTACAATTTGGGCAACAACCATGGTCAATCAAGGCTAATTGAGCCTCCCTTAATTGCTTCTGCAATTCTGCCATCTTTTTAGGTGTCGCAGTTAATGAAAAGAACTAACCAGATATCTTTTCAGCCTCCTGCCATTTTCTCGCTTGGCTAAGCTTATCACATTTTTAGATGTGATTGTAGGAAATGGATTAGTATCCACTTTTAAAGTACCTTCATTAATAGCTTTCTGCAATATACCTCATAGAACAGTACAATCATTAGTAGCATGGTTCTAAGAGTTATGATACTTACAATACTTTTTTCCTTTTAAGTCACTTGCCGATGGAATCTTATGCCCTTTAGGCAAAGATATCATTTTATCGACCATCAAGTGATCAAAGATTTGATCTGTTTTCGACAAGTCGAAAGAATAACTTTTCCCGGTATCGGCAGGACCTTTCCTTGTTGCCGATGTTGATGTTGATGATGAATTGCCCCCCGTAGTCGGTTTAGGTTTAACCAATGCCTCACAAATGTATGGCTTTTTGATATTGACTTCTGCAATGTCAACTTCTAATTCATCTCCAACTTCTGCCGAGAATACCTCATAATTAGGGTCCTTGTACCAAGTACCCTTAGAAGAATTCTTCATCTCTTTCTCTTCTTTTAGTATTTCCTCATACCGAGAAGCCCTGTCTGCTAAGTCAAAGAGATCTTGAAACTCAACTCCATCAAACCTCTTGTGATGTTCAATGTCTAGACCATTCAATGCCAACTTGATGTATTCTGGCTCCGGCAAACTTACTCGGCATTTAAGTTTAGCCTTTCTGAACCTGACAACAAAAGTCTCAACCGATTCGCTCGGCAGCTGAGATAATTGAGATATGTTTGCCAGCGTAGCTTCTGTCTCTGTTCGGTAGAATTGGGTATGGAACGCCTCCTCCATCTCATCCCAAGTCTAAATAGAATTGGCCGATAAGTTGCTGTACCATTCAAACGCCGCCTCGGCAAGAGAGCTAGAGAATAACCTCATCCTTAACCAAGGGCTAGGACCAGTTTCTCCATATTGTGCGGTGAACCTTGCAATATGCTGCACTGTAGAGAAATTTTCTTCGCCACTGTACATAGAAAAATCG